TGTAAACAGATGCCCGTCCATACACTAACATAGGAAAGTGGAAGCAAAAAACTGCACGGGCATGGACGTCGCTGACGCACGTTTAAATCCGGAGAGGATCTGTGCATGGATCCCCTCTTGATGGAGACCATGTGAAGGGGGCATAAGGTGAGTGTTGAGCTTTATAAAAAAGTTAATGATCTGGATGTAATTGTATTGATTCCTGAGACATAGAAGTCAGTTTTGCATGCTGATTATTGCTGTATATGAGCCGGGAGTACCTGAAACGTATGATTGGGTGAAGAGAGAGAGAGATCTGTCACATTGGAGAGAGAGAGAGATCTGTCACATTGGAGAGAGAGAGAGATCTGTCACATTGGAGAGAGAGAGAGATCTGTCACATTGGAGAGAGAGAGAGAGATCTGTCACATTGGAGAGAGAGAGAGAGAGAGAGATCTGTCACATTGGAGAGAGAGAGAGAGAGATCTGTCACATTGGAGAGAGAGAGAGAGAGATCTGTCACATTGGCACCTCATTCCTCCATGAAGAACAATCTGTCACAGATTCTCAGACTGTCAGGACGGCGTGACGTTGGATTGGGTGGATATTAAACACGAGAGTCAATGGCGTTGTTTAGCACAACCGATGTTCCAGCCAATACACAGGGATCTGTTTGTGCTTTCATCTAATCCGGGTCCTGTCCTCTCATCCTGGTCATGTGTAAGTTGTTTCCATGCAGTTTCAGCACCCACAGCATTGAAGTATAAGGGTTCATTCAAATTACAATGCGGCAGCAGGTGTGCGCTGTGAAGGCTGCGGTGCTGATCCGCTGGAAACGTGTCATTGTACTTTTTGTGACATTTCATTCGGTCCCATCGGCCTCCACAAGGTTCAATGTGAGTCGTGTCACACTGTGCTGCACGGAAAAGTACGGCATGCAAGGCCGTGTGGTGTGAACTGTGCCGATTGTAAACAAAGTAGATTGCCTTATCTTTGTATCGGAAGTGCGATGGACAAGGCTGGCCGTCATAGCCCAACGCACTTGGTGTGCAGCGCTTGTGTCTCTTCCACCCACTTGTCCTTCTGGTTACCCAAATGTATGATTACACATTCCTTTAGATCAGCAGAACCCCCCCCCCAAGTGCAGCCTATGCACCTATTTTCTCTTTATGAAAATTGTACAATGTTCATAATTATTTTCTTCTCGTGATAACTCCAAATAGACATTTGATTGTACAATCCACTGGCTGTACAATACAGATCGGCTCCAGTTTTGATAAATTCCCCTCTGTGTATGATTATAGAATCACGCCACCAACAGGATGGTTTGCCATGATCTAAGGAAAGATTTTCCGGTTTATCGAATCCGGATATATTCCAATTTATAGGATTGGATTAAATATTGGGGGACACGCACATACACTGAGTGGCCAGATTATTATGACCACCTGACGTTTGTAGGCAGATTAGCTATAATTTGGCGCTGAAGTTGCTAGAGGGCCAGACCATTATAAATAGGGAAGCAGGTTGTTCACCACGACAGTAGAAGTGATTTTGTTTCTGAAGATACGGGGAAACAACGCAATTTAACAGCCTTTGAACTCGGGACGATTGTTGGCGCTCGGAGCCATGGAGCGAGTATCAGCAAAACAGCAGAATTCGTTACATGTTCAAGAGGGGCTCGTTGTTAAAGTGTTTAAAGACCGGACTGTCAGCCGAAAATCTGGGTGTGAACGTGCGAATTGTGGCCGTCAGCGACTAGTCAATGTTAGGGCAGAACGGAGAGTGGCAAGACTGGTACAAGACAACAGAAGGGCAACAGTGCCGGTTTCAGATTCCTCGCATCACCTTTCATCATCTCGTGGAGTCACGAGGCGGCCCAGCGAAGTACTGATGTGGTGGTCATAATAATCTGGCCACTCAGTGTATATGTGGATCTCATCGAACTCCTGACCGGAATTCAATTAGCAGGTGTATGGTGCAGTGACTGAAGATGGCGCTGCTCATCAATCCATATTAAATGAAGTAATCGCCAGCAGTCCAATACTTGCTCTGTCAGTCCTTTTATTGACATTAAAAGGACAACATAAGCAACGTTTTGGAACCATGTCAGTCCCTTCAAGCTTTGATTGCCTGATGAAGGGACCCACATGGTTCGGAAACGTTGCTTTATGTTGTGAGATGACCTGTTAATGTCAAAAAAGGATTGACAGAGCAAGTATTGGAGTGATGGGGACTACTTACTAGTAGTCCATGTCCCACCGCACTCCAGACCGGAATCCCCGGACGGGTGCTGGTATCATCTGCGGATGGCACAGCGTGTATCCAAATGTAGTGAAGAAGTCACCCGCACTCCAAGGTCCAATACGTAGAACACCTTTTAATAAAGACGCTGAACAATCATGGTGACACAACTTCATTTACTACACACACAGCAGTTCACCCGTGTAGTATTGACATACATGTGACAGCTTATCTGATGCTCTTTTCTGGGTTTGGCGTATATATATATGCCTGCCTATATATACTATGTAAACACACATCAGCTTTAGATATGCAGCAAGAGTCTCCGAGCGCAGTTCTAGCTTGGCAAAAAACGTGTCCTTATTCCTTTAGCAAGGATGCAGATTGCAGTAGGGCTGCAACCAACTAATCGATCCATTAAAATGAGAATAGTTATCAACTATTCTCATTATCGATTAGTTGGTTGCATCTCCTAGCTCTCTTCCACGTCGGGAGGGTGGCACAGGAAGCAGTGGGTGGGTGCAATAGCCAGCCTGCTATTGGCTAATGCAATTTGAAATGGCCCATAGCAGACTGGCTATTGCACTCGCCCTCTACCTGCTGTAGTTACATTCAGTTTACCTCTGCGGAATCTTAACACCGGCAGCTGTCATTCCCTTGCTGAAGCTTTTCAAGCTCTGTGTGCTTACAATACAATGATAAAAAAAAAAATATAAAAGGTCCTTTTCAGTTTCAGCCTGACATTCTGCTGAAGGAGGTGCGTTGCAACCATTCATTTCAATGGCGCCTCCCACCCACAGTGTGATCGCCCACACTGGAAACGCACGGCACCACAATGTTGAACGTTCCAGTGCAGTGCGATTGCAAAAAATTGTGCATGCAGTTTTATTCCGAAGTAAACTTTGTAACATTTCATTTGTGTATTTTATTTTACATTAAGGATGGGATTTAAAATGTTGTTTTTATCAATCGAAAAAATAATCGCCCGACTAATCGATTTATGCAAATCAGTGGCAGCCCTAGAATGCTTTGCCTGTCCTATCGTGGTACCCTTTAGTGGTTCCAGATCTGTGTCATAAAGGTCTTGTGTAAATCTAAACGATCTTTCCTCTTTTTTATTCTGAATTCTCAGTGTGCCCTGGCGATGCACAGCGTTCCCTCTACTGCGAGTGCCACATGTCCGAAGAATGCTGGAACTGCAGGAGGGGAGAGCCCACTTCAACAAGAGAGAGAGAAACAAAAAGGAGAAGGACGAGCAAAAGGACAACACTGACAAAAGCACTTCACAGAAAACTATACGGAGCCATCTAAAAAACCCCAGCCCTCCTAAGAACCTGGCGAGCCCCACTGCGTCTGTGACTGTGAGCTCCGGATCTCTGTCAATGCATTCCAGTAACCCCAAAGTGCGAAACTCCCCATCAGGAAACACACAGAGGTAGGTGGGCTCCGCTGGATCCCGGGGGCTTTGGCAGGATCCCGGAGGAAATTCATGTTTCGTATGTTGGTGTTTTCTGAATGAAAAGAGAATGCTTACCTCTCTGGCCCTGAGGAGCCTTTTTTCCTTGCTGGCTAAATGTGACACAGCTTTGTACTGTGGGATTACCTTGGGGGGGACATAAAGACACTTCCATTGGACAAAGGTATAGCAGGCATGACTGGTGTGTCCAGGCATTACCCAAATCTAACCCCAACCTCCATTTATTTATTTTTTCCTTTTAACTTATTCCTGTTATAAAAAAAGGCTTTTGTAGCTTCCTGTGACATCATCACCAGATTTGTAAAATTTTTGCAGTGACAGCTGCTAGGTTGTCCATTCCTGTTTAGGTTTGCCCAGCCCAGAACTACATCTCCCAATAGCCCTTTCCCTGCATACAGTACGTGGGCACTTAAGCCGCATGCACAATGCCTGTGGCGTGAGAATGTTCATTTACATTGCAGCAGAGAGCTAGGAATGCGCACCTATGCAGGTTCCTGGTTCTCAGAGTTAGTTTTATCTGATGAATGCGGATAATCTTCAATAACCTCTGGTAAAGAAATGAGGTTAACGTTCTAGTTTAAAAGCCGTTTGTATATGTTGAGGGTCACTGTACCCAGAATCGCTAATTCCGCTTATAGTAGATGCTGCAGCTATGCCGTCGCCACTTCTGTCACTTCTGTTTCAGACTTTATTGCACCAACAGATGTGGTTTTGTTTATCTCTTTATATCCAAACTGTCACAAATGTTTACTTAAGTACGCCGGCGACCCAAAGTGAGCAGATAGCGGGCAAATTCTCACTGACAGCACAGAGGAGCTCCTCAGCCGAGAAGGATCCCTTCAATGGTGCCAGTGTTCTATCGAAAGCTCCAACTTGTCGAGCTCTCCGACTGGTGATGTCACATCCGGTGACTGCCAGTAGGAGATCTACACCAGATAGAGCTAGTGCGCATGGCCATGGAATCGTTGCCGAATTCTCTAACTATTGACACTGCGCCTACGCGGCTATTGGCTCATCGCATTCAATAACCTAGTACAAAGTTATATCTGCCGTAGGTTATAGCAGCCAATAGCCGCGCAGGCTTGAATAGAATTCAACGGCGCCACGCACGTGCAGTGGCAATAGTTAGAGATTTCGAAAAGGATTCCATGGACATGCGCACTAGCTCCATCTGGTGTAGATCTCCTGCTGGCAGTCACCGGATGTGACGTCGCCAGTCGGAGAACTCGACAAGTCGGACCTTTCGATGGAACACCGCATCCACCCTAGCTGACTGTCTCTGTGGGCTGTGCACGCCCTGTACGTCCCTCCGATGAGCGCTGGAGGAGCAGATAGGGTAGGATGGAATCCCCGCGGGGATCGATGACTGACAGTTGCTGCTCTCTGCAGGGAGAAGAGACCAGGAGCCGAGTGATCAGTGGTCATATGATCGCTCAGCTCTTGGTTTATGGCCGGCATGGCACAGCTGTATTGTCCTGCACTGGCTCTGAGCAGTGGGGAGAGTATGTTTGACTCTTCCCTGCATTTCTCCTTTATTATTCCTTGCATTCAGTGACAGGACGCACCATTTCTCGGTCCCTCTTAGCATGTAGGGTGCAGATGTTTCGGAGTCCGTCCCTCAGGAAGCCGTGCTTTGCGATATCACTGTTTACTCTGAGCAGAGCACGCCGTTTTCTCTTCTTTGTGTACATAGAAACAGGCTTTTGTATTGACCCAGCGGCTCTAGTGGATCTCATGTGACCAGGACCGGTGCTGTTGATTGGGTGTATGCGAGCATTCAGCTTAACTGTTTTGCTCTGCTCAGTGACATTTCCCAGTGCAAATGCATAACCCGTAGAAAGAAACCGGATTTTGGATTTGATCATCTAATCATCCTGTGGCACAGAGTTTTTTGAAGAGACAATGTGTGATTGGTTGTACTGGACTACTGTGTGTTGCACATGGCTTTTTCCTTTATCAGTAGGCACCCTAGGTTATTATATAGTATATAGCGCCAACAGTTTGCGCAGCACTTTGCAAAATGGTTATTGTTCCACATACATACGTTTAGGGATGCACTGAAACCGTTTTTTTTTCCGGTTTAAGAGTACCGATATTTATATTTCAGTACTCGGCGATACTGAGTATCGGTACTTCCGGTAGCATAGAGCCGGGTAATCAGGAAGCCAGGCGGCGTGTCATTACCCACCGCCCGCCTTCTTTATTGCCCATTCTGTTTGGCCGGCTCGATGCTGATTGGCTGGGCCTGTCACTGCCCAGCGCTCTCATTCAGAAATCCTCTACATGCGCAGTAGCAGGCTGAGGGCCGATCACGCCGCGCTGTACACACAGGAGACGTGGGCAGATCCCGCAGAGCTTTGCGATCGGTGTCTGCCCACCTGGCCAAGGGACTGGTACGGTAATGACTGCTGCTGAGGATCTATGTGAGGGGAATGATTTTTTTGCAGGGTGGGGGGTCGTGTCGCCATATCAGATTTGTTTGCCCGGCTCGATACTGATAGGCCGGTAAGCCGCCTTCCCGGCCAATCCGCATCGAGCCGGCCAAACAGCATGGAGCCAACTTCCCAGCTCCATGTTTCCTCGCAGCAATGCCAGTCGCCCAAATACTCAGTATCTGCACAGATGCTAGTATCGGTATCGATGCATCCCTACATACCTTCATAGCTTTATGCAAAACAGACCTGTAATGAAGTTTAGTTCCACTTCATAAAACAGTGGACTGTAAGGGGGTGCAAAAACTTTAAGACTTGATCACTGGATTTTATAATATTTTACAATAATTGCTGAAACGAAAGGATTTTCCCCATGCAAAGCCTTGTAGCTGCAAGTGTAAACCTCGCTCTGAATTTTCATGTTGACACTATTACATGCCCCTGTTTGCTGGATATATCAAAGTGTACATCAGAGATTAGCTTTGTGTGTATTCATGGCTTATGATTCACCAAAGAAATTGAGCATTTCATATTAATACAGAACCTCTTGGTTTGGTTGCTTTGTGGAAAGCTCGAAGTTGTGTAGATGGCTCTCAGCAAGTTGTAAACCCAAAATGTATTTTCCGTTTTGTCTTCCAGCAGCCCAAAATCCAAGCCAGAGGTTATGGTCCACCCTCCTACCGTGATGTCTCCATCTGGCAACCCCCAGCTGGACCCGAAATTCTCCAGCCAGGGCAAACAGGCGAGTTCCACCAGCCAGTCGCAAGCGTCTCCCTGTGACCCAAAGAGTGGCAACCACACCCCTAAACCGCTGCAAGGTCCCGGGGGCAGCATGGGACTTAAGAATGGGTCCGGGAATGGAGCCAAAGGGAAAGGCAAAAGGGAAAGAAGCATCTCTGCGGAATCGTTTGACCAGAGAGACCCAGGAACTCCCACTACAGACTCCGAAATTAAAGGTAGGAGGGGCTGTCATAGCAATACATTTGAAAGGTAGGTAGGTGGTTCCCCAGAATTGACGCTCTTCCTCAGAGTGGTGTGGAGTTGGTTGGATCGAAATGTATTGATAATGGGCAGCCAGCTAGTGTGTTTAGAGGGGTCTGCGAGTGATGATCCGAATCCAAAGAATATTTCCAATAATAATAATCACAAGTGTAACGAAAGTGTTTCTTGGGGTTCAAGGATGCCGATAAATAATTGGTTACAAGCAGACTCTGGAAAAAAGTAATTTTTTGGTTTTGGTCTGACAATGTCATTTCTGTGCATCCCTAGTTTTGAATTGTCCATGTACATGGGGCCCAGTTAGATTTGCTTATTACATGTGGCCATAGGAAACTGGCCTTAGATCTCTCAGCAAGGGCGGGGTCTTTTATAACAATAGTCATTAGGGATGCACCGATACTGGTGAAAATGCACTGATGCTGGCGCTTCAAAATTTTAAACTGAAGTCGGCGCTGTAAACAAGAGCCACAGTGCCCTTTTACACCGTCAGCCAAAAATCTGCTTCTCCACCTGTGCCGCAAATCTCATGCCGTGAGATCGACCGGAAGCCCTGGTGAGACCGCAAAGCCCACCATAGACCCCACAGAGGACACCTGAGAGAGCCCACTGTAGACCCCACACAGCCGCCTGAGAGCCCGCACAGCCCACCACAGATGCCGCCTGAGACCCTGCAGAGTCCACCATAGATACTGCGCTGTCACCTGAGACTTTGTACAGCCCACCATAGACCCTGCACAGTCACCTGAGATCCTCTGCTGGAGACATCAGGCCGGCACCCCGCAGCAGCACAGAGTATGTAGCTTTATATTATTCTGCATTGATATATAATGCATTGCTAGGATTTGTAGTCCTCTATAGCCGGTTGCCGTTCAGCATTGCTGTATAATGTATCACTGGGATTTGTAGTCCCCCCTCTAGCTGATGGTATTCTGCATTGCTGTATAATCTATTGCTAAGATTTGTAGTCCTCTGTAGCTGGTGGTATTTTGCATTGTATAATGTTTTGCTGAGATTTGTAGTCCTCTGTAGCTGGTGGTATTCTGCATTGTTGTATAATGTATTGCTGAGATTTGTAGTCCTCTGTAGCTGGTGGTATTCGGCATTGCTGTATAATGTATTGCTGAGATTTGTAGTCCTCTGTAGCTGGTGGTATTTTGCATTGCTGTATAATGTATTGCTGAGATTTGTAGTCCTCTGTAGCTGGTGGTATTTTGCATTGTTGTATATTGTATTGCTGAGATTTGTAGTCCTCTGTAGCTGGTGGTATTCTGCATTGCTGTATAATGTATTGCTGAGATTTGTAGTCCCTTTACAGCTTGGTGCCAATGGCAGAACTACCAGGGTAGCAGAGGTTGCAGCTGGGACTGGGGACTGGCGTTCCACCACTGTCCTTATATCATTAGTCTGTATTGTGTTTGAAGAACTGTCACATGACACTAAACTATCCTAAAGTGGTATCGGCGAGTACTTGAGGAAAGATATTGTTACTTGTACTCTGTCTGGGAAAAATGGTATCTGTGCATCCCTAATAGTCATTATAGAACATCTGCAAGTCTGTACATGAAATCAAACCCCATGTATGGAACACCAGGCCAGTAAAAATGAAGTCGCATCTGATTTGGATACATAGACTATCATATCAGTTTGTGCTTAATTGGGGAATTCACAAAAACTCAAGCAGCTGTGCACAGTGACCAATCAGCTTCTATCTTCAGCTTGTTCAGCTAAGGTTTGAAAGGAAAACTGGAATCTGATTGGTTGCCATGCACTCTTTGCTCCACACTAAAACTGGCCATACACTGTTCTAGTATTTTCTTTCAGCCTGTGGGCTAAACATAAAAAAAAATGGACTAGATTCCTCCAACGGTTACAAATGCTGATGAATGAATCCCTGCTGTTCCTTTGTACTCTGACGATGGCTGTCGGAATACATGAATGGTGATTGCAGCTGATTGGCTACAAGCACTGTTTGTTCGAAGATTTTCTATCTGGTTCCTTCGATTTTCTGATTTGAGGATAGGTTCACACCTAGGCGATTTATCGCGCAAAACACAGATTCACATTAAAGTCAATTGAGGCTGTTCACACCTTTTGCGGTTTGTCAGGCGGACGAAATCGCCTGTCGCGCAAAAAGGTGCCGGATCTATTTTGGTGTGGTTGTTGTGCGCTTTGGGTCCCATAGACCTCTCTATGCATTGAAAACCACGCAACAACCGTGCGGTTTTCAACAGTCGCACGAAAACAGCTCCGCATTTGAATCGCCTATGTGTGAACCTAGCCTAAGGGATGGCAGCTGAAACGGTGCCAACAACGGCCCCCCCACTCTGCTGGTTCTTCCTTTGCATGTATGGCCAGCTTTAGGCCCCATTCACACTGAGCGATTTTTGCAGCGATATCACTCATATTTCCACGCGATCTATGTAGCTTCTCCAATCCATTTTAATGGAGCTGTTCACATCTCGTCGCTCAATAACGCTTGTAGCTCCTACATGACCCTTTTTTCGAGCGATTTTGCTCCTGATTGCATACAGCCCAGTAGGAAAAAGTCGCTCAATATCGCTCATATAAAATCGCGCGATTTTCATGTCGCTCAGTGTGAATGGGGCCTAAGTGAATTCCCCTCTGTGTCTGACGATTATAGGGATAGATGCCCAAGTCTCTGTTCTTTGTTGGCACTGAAAATCCCTGTTTGATCCCCTGACATTTTACTCCCACATTGTGAACATTTCAAGTCTTATTTGTCTGTATTAAATGTTAGAAGTTGTATATTTCTTTAATGACACGAGATACTTGTTGGGGGAATTCTTGTGCGTCTGCAGGGTATTCCTACAGTGAGATCATCGTACAACTCTGGTGTGGTGCGAGGGCTGCACAGGAGACCCGGATCACATTGCACACTTATTGCTTCATGGAAATCTCCTGCTATTATACCGAGTCCACATCACTAACAACGGAATCTTCTGGTTCCTCAGGGTCTTTCCTGGCTACAGTAGGTGGAGGGTCTTCACTGGAAATGGCGGACATTAAAGGAGAACTATGGGGTCAGGGCCTTTCCCCATAGTTCTCCTTAGGGTAACGGGAGGACACAAACTAGCGTCCTCCAGTCACCCAAAGCTCAGTATATAACGAGCTACAGCTCGCGGTATACTGAGACGCCGCAGCCGGGGCGGATCCCGACATTACTGTCGAGATCCACCCAGCTGTGTGATTGACAGCTGGCTCTGCCTATCTAGAGGCAGAGCCAGTTGTACCCGCCCCGTCCATTCCGCCAGTCAGCGATGGAGTATCGGAGCGGGGAGGAGGGGAATCACTGCAGGGAGCCGTGAGTGACAGTCACGGCTCTCTGCAGGGATAGATGGAGAAGTGAGTGAGCGAGCGACGCTATGTGTTCGCTCACTTCCCGATCTATTGAGCCGACCTGTGACAGTCTCATTGTCACACGTCGGCTAGAACTATGAGGATGAGTGATTTTCGCTCGCCTCATAGTTCTCCTTTTAAGGGACACGTTTGTGGAAAGAGTGTAAAAAAAAACCCCCAGCGGGGGGTGCAGGAATTGGAAGAGGAGGAAGTCCCCCAGTTCCTGTCCTCCCCATGCCTACCTCAGCCAGCCGCCATCACAGCTGTCCTATGCTTTATAATACGGAATTGAATTCAGGAGAACGGATGAACTCTAACCAATAATATTAGGTTTTGTTACGTTGCCGCTGTGTTTTTAAGAGAACTAGTCAAATCTTCCATCATTTTGATGTCCTTAACCCTATGAAGCCATTGTTTCACAGTGGGGTGATCAGTCCTCTTCTACACGGCAGGTACACACACCCTAGCCGCATTCACCAAGTGTCAGACCACAGAACACTTCAGAGGAATATGATTGTGATGAAAGAGGAAGAAGGCCAGATCTCTAGGGATGGTATAATCTGTGACTGTTTGGGTAGTAGCGTGGACTTGTTGAGTTTGTGAAGCTCTCTAGTACAGGGCAGATCCCAAATATGTGTAGGATATCTCCCCGGGCCTGTCCACAGTGCCAGCAGTTATCTGAGGCCTGTGGGAAGATCGAATGTAACATCTGAGGTGTTCTGTGCAACCTAGTTACTGTTTTATAGCCTGATCCTTGGTACCTGTTGCTGATGGAGGATTTAGAAGTGAGGGAGGAGATGAGTTTTGAGCAGAAATTGAATTTGCAAATCACTTGAATAGAGAAGGTGAAAGCAAAGACCAGACCAGTTCATTATTGGTCTTAAGATTTTTACGTCATTTTCAGGCCTAAAATGTGGAATATAACATGGGTGCAAAAATGGAAAAAAGGGCCTCAGTCATGAAGGGGTTAAAGAGACCATATGGAAAGGGTAAGGCTATACATGCCTGGAGGAAATCATGGCTGCAGGTAACATGGAGAAATTCACCTGCAGTCTGTAATGCATATCAAATGACTTAAACATGTATATTACAGAGTGATCGTTTTGGCTTTCTTGTATTAAATGTCCATTTTCTTTCTCCAATTTACAGACTGCAACACTACAGATCCAGTGATGCCCTTGGAATCCCACGCTCCTCACAACATGACCCCTTCCAATACCTCCGTCCCCAGGTCTTCCACTCCTTCACATGGGTCAACAATGCTGGACGCCGCACCTGGAAGGAAAACGCCGTCAAAAGTGGTCTACGTCTTTTCTACTGAAATGGCCAATAAGTAAGTTCTGAGGTTGAGTGGCTATGATATAGAGGATTGAGTCATCATATGACTGATGACTCCAGAAAACAGTAGGTCCCCCTGCACTCCTTACAGCGCTTCCGGTCCAAGTGAAAATAGTGGTCCTTGCAGTGACAATCACGGATGGCGCCGTGTACAACAGTCATATGAACAATAGAAATCACCAGCACTCCAATGAAATTCAAAAAAGGCAATTTATTTGGACTAAACGTCACACATCGCATACTCCTTATGCGATATGTGTGACGTTTAGTCTAAATAAATGGACTTTTTTGAATTTCATTGACTGAGTGCTGGTGATTTCTATTGTTCATATGACTGACCACGGGGGCATTGCCCATTGTACACCTTATAGGTGTGTGAAGGCCCATAGACCATGATATACCAGCTATCGGTACCTTCCTGGGGCAGTGATGGGTGTATTTTACAGCCGGACACATTTCTCCATCACACCTAATATGAGCTTGTTGGACATCCCATTCCAAAACCATGGACATTAATGTGGCGTTGGTTCTGTTTGGAGCTATTACAACCGTTACTCTGCTGGGAAAACTTTCCAAAAGATTTTGGAGCTTCTGTTTGAAATTTGTGGCCTTCAGCCAGAAGAACCTTTTTGAGGCCAGGTACTAATGTAGAATGTGAGGACCTGGCTTGCGGCTGGCTCTCCAGTTTGCAGGGTTGCAGTCGGGACTTTGTGCAGACCGCTCCGTTTCCTCCACAGCAAACTCCTCAAAGCATTTGTTTTTGAAGCTGGCTTTGTACACAGGGGCACAGTCAACAGAAAAGGACCTTCCCCAAACTGTTACCTGTTAGTGTTATGGCTAAATGTAAAATCTTCTCCCCAGCTTCCCATCTCAGCTGACTTCATGGAATATCTGCAGTCGGGTGTTTGTGGCGTGGTTGGTGGAAGGATGCGCTCTTTCACTGCTGGTGAATTGCAGCTTGTAGCAGAGAATCTCTTCTGGGAAGCCCCCTTATGTGTAGTAATTTGCTGCGATTCTGCCAAGGACCCAGAAGGTGTTCTTTGAAGAACCGCATACATAAACTTTTTAGTGTCATGTATCTAATATTGTGATTTGCCCACATAAACTATTGGATAAACTATTGGAAGTCAACACATTCTATTCCTATAAAGTGTATCTAAAACCAAAACTTTTGGATAGCATATTAAACTCCTTTAGGGTTTTTGCTGCTGATAGTAGGAAAGGTTGCCGCTCTTAGGGCTCGTTCACACCATATGCAGTGCGTTCCGGCCCGATTCTGGCCGGAACGCACTGCATCGCAATGCTACAAGCACTATTTTGATCGCACCGGATCGCAGGCACAATGTGCCTTGTGATCCCGCGCGGGCGATTGCATTGCGGCCGGAGGGCGTATTCACTTCAATGGACCGCCACGCCCTCTCCAGCCCCACGAAATAGTGAGCTGGCCGCAATGTGATGTAGTGTGTTTGGGCCGGAACGCACTGCATTTGGTGTGAACGTAGCCTTACGCTTGCTTTGTATGCCAGTGTTTGGAAACACAGGTAGGATGGACCTCACCCCCGCTCCCCATTTAAAGACTGGCTGCCCATTGATATTAGCCCTTTAATAAACTTTATAACTTTATAGTATCAGAGAACATACAGAGAGAGGCTCCACTTGGGTGGGGAGGTTCTTTGTGCATGTTCTCTGGACAATTAAAGAGGAACTTTACCCAGATCTTTGAAATAACAACAAACACGCCTTTAGAAATGTTTAGTAATGACAATCTACAGACACATACTTCTAAATAATTCCCGGCTTTGTATTCTTTGCATTCCTTATTTTTACTTCCCTTTTACTTTTTACACCTTTTACTTCCTGGAACTCTGGCACATGTGACTAGGACATGTGACCATGCACATCATCTCAGGGGATGCAAATGCCTTTCCCTGAGATCTGGTGGGATTACAGATGAGATTTCCCAGCAATGCTCTGCTAATGTAACCTACCCAGGATGCAATGCTTGGACACAATGACATCATTTTTGACAAAAAGAACCAGGGAGTGGAAAACAAGAAATTGCAAGTAAAATTAAAAATGTTTATAGCTAATGAATGTAAGATTTCATTTCAGCATGCAGAGCTGCATGCTAATATGATGTTTAGCCATAGTGGGTAAAGGTCCGCTATAAGTTTTATTGAACTCCTCTGATCATCTGGGTGCAGCTGTGTCTTTGCAGTCAGGTTTTTATTGGGTGATCACTGTCTACAAGACTGTTGGCGATGAGAAATTGTGAATTGTCGCTAAAACTGCAATATAGGGTAAAGGTGCCCATACACCTTACAACCATCGCAAGACCTTTGTCTTGCGATGGTCGTAAGCTCATTGAAAGCTCGTACGATCTGCCCCTCTTGGACGGGCAGATCGTACTTGCGATCATCGAAAAGCCCGCCCCGCTGAGGGGCGGGCTTCCGATGACCACAGTGAGGGGGCGGGCTTCCGATCACTGCAAACGGGCCATTCGGCAGTTGTCGAACAAGCAGGCTGCCTGCTTGTTCGACAGAAGACGTGCGACCGTACAGTAGAAACGGTCGCACGCCTTCCATACACTGTACGATTCTCGTACGATCGCGGGATTTCCCGCGATTCTCGTCCGAGAATCGTACAGTGTATGGGCACCTTTAGTCTTCCACTAAGCAAACAGCCACAACTCCACATCTCTATCTGCACATGTGCGAGATCTGGCACCTTGCCATTGGGGAGCGGCTGCAAGAACCAGGAAGAGACAGCCGACAAAGCCTCCCCCCCGATGATGTTCAAAAGGACTGCACTGGATCCACTAGGCTTGTAAGTATATTTATGCAGCAAAAAAAGGTCATCGATGGTAACGGGCATGTGATCTTTATTTGAAAGATGAAGTTCCGCTTTAAGCAGATTGCACACTTGTTCTGTAATGTTGCAGTCTACTAAAGTAGGGTATACATGCTCCGAATTTCATACTAAGGTCCTTTTCAGAACGTCCGTTCAAATATCTATCAATCAGTATGGTGCAATCAGACGAACACGACAATGTTCCGGAAAATTTTCAAAGGAGCATGTTGGAAAATGTTTCTCGATGGAACTAATTTCTAACAGTCTTTGTGGTTTTCGTTCAGAAGCTCCGCCCATTCCAGAACAGAATGTTACATAAAAGCGGAAATGAAATGAAATTTCGAGTGACAATCGGCAAGTTTCTGACGCCAGTATCGAACGTTCCGATGGTATTTTTCAGACGAACCTTCGTGCAAACACCTACCCGTGTATACCCTACTTAGTGAGTTTTATTTTTTTAGATCCCCCCCTCGTGCACCTGTCATATGCGGTGCTGCAGAGGAGGAGGGCGACGATTTGTTATTCCAGTTGGCAGTGGAAAGGTTCGAATACTCGGCTGTCAGCTGTTGACAGACAACACGGATACTTTAAAAGCTTTGAGCATAACCTGCTGAAAATAGGAACAGTCCTAAGTAGCTCCAGCAGGTTAGCTCCAGGCGAGACGTGATTCGGGTGATTAGGCATCTGACGATTTCCTGCATTACTGATTTCTTCGACCACCTTGTTAGTATGAGTCGGCATGTACGTATTCACCCAGACCGCTTCATGCCTGCTAAATATCTAATGTTCCGAAACAGCTTTCAAATCCGAAATTAAAAGACACTCAAGTCTTCCAGGACAAGTATTAAATACTATAGAATGACAAAAAAGGAGAGCGCCCACTCCATGTGAAGGATCGTTTAAAAATTGGTAATGTACGCGCAAGAGAAAAGTGACACAAACGTATTCAATGGTTCCCCACACAGGAGGCTGTCGCCCATCAGAAGCCACAGCGCAGCTAAGTCAGCTCACGACCGAAGTTGTCTTCCAGCAGCGAGTGGCGAGGGTTAACGCGTTTCCCTGGCAAACCCCCCCCCCCCCAACCACCCTTTGTAAATTCCAACCTCTGCTTCTCTACCCCACGATAAAATCTGCCCCTGACCACTATTTGATTGTGCTTCTGCCTCCTTTTCAGTGTTGAATCTGTTGCAGACCTGTGCAAATCAGGGTTAACTCATGTGCAAGGGTTTACTGCTCGTTTGTGTCTAGGTTAAAACAAAAAAAGTCCCTGGACTGTCTCTCCCCCTCCTTTGCAGGGGTCTAGTTCCAGTAAATCATCATGTTCATGCACTGTGCATAGAGGTGAGGATGCTGAGGAACATTCCAATGTGCTGCGGAGGGGGGTGGAACAGGCTGGAGGGAGCGCTGATAGCTGGCCGGCTCAGAGCTTTGGGTGAGTATAACTTTATTTGAACACCTAGACACAGACGAGTACTTAGCCCTTGCAAAGGCGGTAGCCCTACTGAAAGGGTTAATAAAAAAAAAAAATCATGGAGTTCTTTAAGCATTGGCAATCGTAAGAGGGATGGCTGTGGTCCCCAACAACCATGTTTAGGTCTTAGTAAGAGAAGAGGGGGTTGACGGGATAGATTGGGTGAGCCCGAAGGAAAGGGAAAGAGGGCAGGGTTGTTTTGGAGGGGGGTGTCAGGCCTGACCAGTGTTTCCAGCGTCAAGGTCCTTTTGTTCAAAGTGAAAGCACAGAGCGCTGGTGTGAACTGAGCCCATTCAAAACAAAGCAGATTGCCTCATCTAGTGTTGGGGCCACATTAAAAAGAGCGGCCAGTGCAGCGCCAATGGTTTGAATCCGGGCTGAGATGGACGAATAAAAATCCAACTCCAGATAACACTTTTTAAAGTGACACCAAACTCGGGAGTTAAATCTTAAAAATGCATTCAGGTTCCTCAACTAATAACAATGTATCTTATTTGTCTATCACTCGGCTGTAGATCCTCCTGAATCTCATCTCTGAATTGGTGATGACACTGTCCTTCCTTCTGGAGGGGGGCTACTTATGTTCTCCATAGTCCCTGTGTGTGTTGTAAAGTAATCACCGCTCCAAGCTCGCTCCTGTGATGGACTAAAATGTAATGTTCAGTTAACTTTTTTGTATTGAGATTGTAGTCCATCCCAGGAGCGAGCTTGGAGTGGTGACTACTTTACATCACACACGGACCATGGGGAACAAAAGTAGTCCCAGAGATTTAGGAAATTGCTGCTTTTTTAATGTTGGTGACAGACTTGGCCGACATGTTTTTTTTTGCCCAGAAATGGACTTTATATCAGTTTTGGGTGGACTAATCCTTTATGAATTGGCATTCTTTATTTGTGGTTGGTGTTATCCTTTACAGCTCGTAGCCATTCTCGTCATTCTTTATAACCTTTCTCCCAGTTGTTGCAGTCATGGTAGTAAATTCCAGAATCTGCATATACCGTCTCCCATAACATTGTAATGATTTACTAGCGTGTCAAATGTCTCCATAGAGGTTGCCGGAGGAAATGTGATCCGTTTGGTAAAACACACCTGTGCCTGGGTAGGAGGAGAGGGTGTTTACTTCTCGTGTTTGGGTTTCCTCTATTGAAAGAGAGAAGGTCTCTGTGGTAAAGGGGCTTCCAGATGCAGCCGGTATGCCAGGCTAAGCTCAAGACAAAACAAAAGGCTTTCTTCCATCTCGAAGGTCTGGACTTGGTGGCCATACATGCCCCAGTACTGGCCAACTTGGAAGCTGTGAGGACCAGACCATGTAGAGCAAATCTTGGGGGCAATGAGTGCTTTTAGTCATCAGACACTTTAAAGCTGCGGTTCTCAACCTGTGTAACCTCAGTACCCATATTTGTCCTTGGACATTAAGTGGCGACACAGGTCGCAATGGAACGCACGGCATTGCGATACCGTGCGATCCTCAGCTTGGGGTCCAGTGCTGGGCTGCTGTACTGTGATGGAGCTCAATCCATATGTGCATTACTTGTACAGCTCCCTTGTGCACCCTGTAGAGGAGCCGGGAGCCAGAACGTGACGTCACTCCGATCCAGGCACCTCTATAGGACACGTGAGGAAGCTGTAAGCAATGCACGTATGGATGAAGCTCCCTCGCGCCCATAGCTCCAGCCCACCCCACCTCAAGCTGACACTTGGTGCCAGGCAGCATATTCTGAATGGCTGCTCAGCGCAAGAACTGATATTCTACACTAGGAGGAGGCTGAGGAGCCTCTCGCATACAAAAGTGGAAGGCACTCGGCGACCCACTGAAAACAAGGTCGCTACCCACTTTTGGGTCACGACCCACCAGTTGAGAACCAAGGCTTTAAAGGGGTTCTAAAGCCTCACGGTTTTTTTGCCTATATCTACTGCTGACAAGCAGTAGATATAGGCAAAAAGTTAAAAAAAAATGCTTAAACAGCGGTTTAGACCTCATTTAGGCTGCACGCTCCTGCGGCGAGAGTCCGGAACTGTTCGTGCGGCCGCAAAGGATCTTGGGGCGGGCGCATGCGCAGTTAGGATTCTCGGCCGGGAGACGAGCAGAGACGCAAGGGAAAAAAAGTATCCTTTAATGTCACTTTAAAGGATATCTTAACCCGCCAACAACAGTCTGCGCCAAGGTGTGGTCATCTGCAGGTAATCGCCACATGTGCAATTACACGCTAGCCGATGTGGGTGGTGGCGGCAACTTCATTGTATTATACGTCGCTGCCCGCCCGCAGCTGAGCCCAAGTCCCGTGAGACTCTGCGATCCAGCTCCATCTTCAAATTGGGCCAAAATACAGTGACGTGAGTGATGTAGCCACCCTAGGACAGGATAATAAGCATTTTACTTCCCATGCACAATATTCACCAGCTTGCCAAGTCAGAGTGTATTGCCGAGTGTTATAGCAGAACTGAAGGAGGTTTAACCCTTTTTGCACGCATGTATAATCCACATTTTAGGCCTGAAAATTACTTAAAACCCCCAAAACATGAAATATTTTCTGAAAGCCAAGACCCTGAAGAATAAAAAGGTGGCAATTGCAAATTTTTACATTACACGATTTTAGCGCAGCTCTTTATCAAACCGAAAAATGCACTTGTGTTCCAAAAATTGATTGCGTCTGTTAAAGGGCTACAAAATAGATTTCCCCAAATTTGTCCATAGGCGGCGCTTTAAAAAGCCCGTACAGGTCATCGGTTTAGAGATATATCTGTAAATATTGACCCTGGAATTATTGGTCTCACTCGGGTTGTGCGGCGATGCCTAATGTGTAGCATGATCACCGTTTTCGTACGTAGGCACGGGGGTTTAAAAAAAAAATCGCATGTCCTAGTCACATGTTCCAGGAAGTAAATGGATATGGATTAATCTGCCCTTAGTAAACATGGCCACTGTGAGAAGACTCCCCTTTCCTTTTTTAAAATCGCATATAGAGATTTGTAGATTGATTAGACGGCTCTCGGTGCAGTTCTCCTTTCTTGTAGCAGACGTTAAGATAACATAACATATCCAGGGATTAGAATGCATTGTGTTCAGCGTGCGTCTTCAGATCACTACCCTGGTTTGTGCAGTGCTTCAGCTGCTGACTGCTGTGCTGAGTCTTTCAGTAGGTGTAGTAGTTTGTAGTTCACCATTTATGTGTGGAGAGTCTTTTCCTGTGAATATTGCTCGGCCACATCTCACCGATATGATTTCTTCCTCCACAGAGCTGCAGAAGCGGTTATGAAGGGACAGGCAGAATCGATTGTCCTCTTCCACATACAGAGCACCTCAAACAGCAAAGCTGAGCGCACTTCAACTCCTACGGTGGGCTTTCCTTACCTCCTTTATATTAATGAATTCCTTCATGTTCCATGTCTTGCTGATATTTGCATTACCATTCAGCACTGTATGTTTCTGGTAGGGATGCACCGATACTAGTATCAGTGCCGATGCCGAGTATTTGGGTGAGTACTCGTACTCGCTTAAATGCTCCCATGCCTAGCCCGATACTTCCGCTTTCAGGAAGCCGGGCAGCGAGTCATTACATGCTGCCCGACTTCATGATTGGCGGGGAAGTTGGCTCCATGCTCCCTCGTCACTTGTGTGGAGCCGGCTTCCCCGCCAATCAGGAAGCCGGGCAGCATGTAATTCGGTTGGAAAGCTGGCCAATCAGGAAGCCGGGCGCCGTGTAATGGCCTGGAAGCTGGCTTCATGCTTTCATGAGGTGATGAGGGAGCATGGAGCCGGCTTCCCGGCCAATCAGGAAGCCTGGCGTCGCGTCATTACACAGCGCCCAGCTTCCTGATTGGCCAGAAAGCCGGCTCCATCTTTTCTCGTCACCTAGTGATGAGAAGCACGGAGACGGCTTCCCTGCTAATCGGGAAGCCAGGTGGCGAGTCTTTACACACTGCCTGGCTTCCTTAATGGGACTCCCGCTATCGGCGAGTACCAGAAAAAAACATATCGGTACTCGATACCGAAATACCATTAGCGGTGCATCCCTAGTTTCTAGTAATCAGAACCTGTACTCCTCAAGTGGAAGGAAAGTGTACGCAACACCATACCTGTTTTAAACGTTGCTTCCCCATAGTTATGATGCTCCCTGCAGACATTTTCTACTAAATCGCAATCAAAATACTTTATTTATATATATATAATGTGTGTGTATGTATAATATCACGTCACGTGACCGCAAAACTCTGGCTCCATTCCCTTTCTATGTTTTGTGGTCAGTGGGCATGAACGCTCTGCCGCCTGCCACCACCCTGCAGCTATGGACGCCTGTGGTTGACGTCACTGCTTTATGGTATTCAACAGCAGGAGCTTTGTGGTCATGTGACCAAATAGGAAATTTTTTTATTTAAATGGTGATTTGGTAGAAAATGTCTGATGGGAGTGTGAAAGAACTTTTAACAGATTTGATCGGGTAATTACATTTTCCCAAATTACCAGGGAATGTGAGCTTACCCTTTTATGCACATTGTGTGTGTTAGAGAGCGCTGCTGCCTGACTACCACAATATGGCACACAGTGGAATCGGGGCAGCACTCGCAATGCTCCATGCATGCTTTTATTCGCATGCAAATGGAGGGGTTTGTTTGGGGGTTTTTTTCTGTTAAATTTGTATTTATTTGATCATTTTTAACTTTTTTTTTTTTTTTACCACTTCACTTTATTGCTATCACACGGGCTAACAATGATAGTGATAGTGTTTTGGAGGTGACCGGGTTCTCTTTATGGAGAGACCCTAGATCTCTCCCCTGCCCTCCAATACAAAAGATGGAGCACAGCATTGTGCTTGATCTCCTGTGCAGCCTGGAGTGACACCTGAGACGGGAAACATTGTGGCTATAGCGTTCCTGTCTCACTGATAACACAGAGCATATCAAAGAACAGGCGTTCTCCGGTCTGCTCCCCGCTCTCCATCCTGAAGTCATTTGCTGTGGACCGGGTTCCCCAGAAGAGCAGGGAACCCCGAAAACTGGGGGGAGGTATGGCAGTGGGCTTGGACAAGCAGGCTGCTACAAATGATCACTTGTGCAAAACGAGTGGCGGCTCCCCTGCTCTACATTTAACCCCTGCTGCATTTAGGCAATGGTTACATGCATTGTAATGGTAATTGAATAAACGTCAAGTTTTTATATTTACATGTGCACCTGAAAAGCCCCAATTTGTTATGCTTTTTATGCCTTGGTGTTTCATGATTAGGGGTGTGGTGCAGGCGGTATAGGGGGCTATTTGGATGATCAGACTTTTATCCTGTAGCCCTTGGTTAGGACAGGCAGTGTTCAAATCTACTGTACAAATGATGATGACCAAACCCCTCAACATTACAGAGGAAGAGAAGCAAGCAGAAATTTTAACCCTTAAGAAGCCAGGAAACACTAACACATGTAAAAGCAATTGAAGCTGCAAGAAGTATTTTGTACATTTTTTTTTTTTTAGCGTATGCTACGTGACTGAGAACATGCAACAAAAATAAAAATGGGTGTTATCCCAATTTGGCTGCAAAAGTGAAAATACACTTTAAGCCCTCATTCCCACTAGAAACGGGCGTGACGTACAGCTCCGTGCTGCGTGCACGGCCATATCGCTGCGCTCCCAGGAAGGACAGGTGCTGCGTGTGATGAGTACGCAGCCCCCGTCCTTCTCTATGGGAGTACGCTGGCCTACGCTCACCCGCTCTGCACGTGGGTGCGGGTGTCCGTACTCGTATGCTGACAGGATGGATCCTGCCTGCGTCCGAGCCAGGAAACACGCACCCGTACGGACCTGCACTTGGGGGCGATCGTAGGGCGGCGTACGGCTGCATACTCCCATAGAGAAGGACGGGGGCTGCATACTAATCACACGCAGCACCTGTTCTTCCCGGGAGCTGAGCAATATGGAGCTGTACGTGCCGGCCTTTTCTAGTGTGAATGAGGGCTAAGGCTATTGGATTTATTTGTAGTGAGGAGACCACATTGAATGTAGAAGGATTGGTTGGGGTCTCTTTGCTAAAATTAGTCTTCTCCCCACTTTCTACAAATCAATCAATCGAGTCTCCACCTTTATTTTGAAGGATTCACATTTTAGAAAAATCAGATGGAATCTAGTTGCTGTGGGCAGTGACGTTTCAAAGCAAAATGTTGTTGACTTTTTGATTTACAACTACCTGTTTACAGCTTTTTTTTTTTTTTTTTTTACTTCTTCAGAATACCCCAATCTTTACAATTG